TAGTTATAGATATGAACAGTTCTGCAGATTTATGAGCTCTGCAAACCGGTTTCTGTTTGCACCACCAGGTTTTTAAGGGTTTTAGCGCCCCGCTCAGCACACAAGCGTTGCGGACTTTAAATAGAGTTAAATACTTTAAGTGGTCTGTATGTGACCATTTCGGCATTTGACTGATAAATAAATAAAATCAACATTTCCCTGTTTGTCAGGAAGACAGAAATCCTAATATAGCATTCAGCTGCTGTTTGGCCGCAGAAAAATCTGAATGTGTGAGGTACGGAAAGGGTTTTTGTGACTAAATAAAGACGTTTTTACCTCTGACGGGGAACCAGAAGGACGCCGGGCAGAAGCAGAGAGTCCGGAGGGGAAACGCGTCCACCTGCTTCTGGGCAGCTTCTGCCATTGGCATCCTCAGGTCCTGCAAACGAATGAATGCACGTGGAGGCTCTCAGCTCTAAATACCAGGCTCTGGCCCCGCCCCCTTATGACGTCAGTCGTCATGGTGACTCATGGAAATAAACAAACGTGACGTAAATAACGTAACCATTGTTGTTTTTTTTGTTATGGAAACCTCTGGGATGTTCTCTAAACTTTTTCCTGCTCATATGAAATAAATAAAACTTAAACATAAAACCGCACCTTCACCATATTACAGTGATTTTGCACTTAAAATCACTGTAAACTGTGTTCTTTCACCAATGCATTTGTCTTTGTATATTTTGATCTGATTTAATTACTGTAAAGCACATTGGTCACCTCTGGTTGTTGTAAGGTGCTATATAAATAAACATTGATTGATTTATATCAATCGCCTCGCCTCGAGGCGATTCTGGTCCACCATCCGGCGTCTCAGGAGGGGGAAGCAGTGCCCCACCAACACTGTTTACAGTGGGGATGGTGTGCTGTTGACCTCAACTCGTGACGTTGTGGGTCGGTGGGCGGAGTACTTCGAGGACCTCTTCAATCCCACTGGCGCGTCCTCCGTTGGAGGGGCAGAGCCTGGGGATCCGGAGTTTGGATCTCTAATCTCCGGGGCTGAAGTCACCGAGGCAGTCAAAAAGCTCCGCGGTGGCAAGGCCCCGGGGGTGGATGAGATCCGGCCGGAGTTCCTTAAGGCTTTGGATGTTGTGGGGCTGCGTTGGCTAACGCGACTCTGCAACATCGCGTGGACATCAGGGGCAGTCCCGCTGGATTGGCAGACTGGGGTGGTGGTCCCCCTATTTAAAAAGGGGGACCGAAGGGTGTGTTCCAACTATAGGGGGATCACACTCTTAAGCCTCCCTGGGAAGGTCTATTCAGCGGTTCTGGAGAGGAGGGTCCGTCGGATAGTCGAGCCTCGGATCGAGGAGGAGCAGGGTGGTTTTCGTCCTGGCCGTGGAACGCTGGACCAGCTCTATACCCTCAGCGGGGTCCTAGAGGGTGCATGGGAGTTCGCTCAACCAGTCCACATGTGTTTTGTGGACTTGGAGAAGGCGTTCGACCGTGTCCCTCGGGGTATCCTGTGGGGGGTGCTCCGGGAGTATGGGGTGCCTGGCCCCTTGTTACGGGCTGTTCGGTCCCTGTACGACCGGAGTCAGAGTCTGGTTCGCATTGCCGGTAGTAAGTCGGACTCGTTTCCGGTGGGAGTTGGACTCCGCCAAGGTTGCCCTATGTCTCCGGTCCTGTTCATAACTTTTATGGACAGGATTTCTAGGCGCAGCCGAGGTGTTGAGGGTGTCAGTCTTGGTGGCCTAAGGATCGCATCTCTGCTTTTTGCAGATGATGTGGTCCTGTTGGCTCCATCAAGTCGGGACCTACAGCTCTCACTGGAGCGGTTTGCAGCCGAGTGCGAAGCGGCTGGGATGAGGATCAGTGCCTCCAAGTCCGAGACCATGGTCTCTCACCGGAAAAGGGTAGAGTGCCTTCTCCGGGTCGGAGCGGACGTCCTTCCCCAAGTGGAGGAGTTCAAGTATCTCGGGGTCTTGTTTGCGAACGGGGGTAGGGAGCGTGAGATCGATAGGCGGATCGGTGCGGCGTCTGCAGTAATGCGGGCGCTGTACCGGTCTGTCGTGATGAAGAGAGAGCTGAGCCTAAAGGCGAAGCTCTCAATTTATCGGTCGATCTACGTTCCCACCCTCGTCTATGGTCACGAGCTTTGGGTAGTGACCGAAAGAACGAGATCGCGGATACAAGCGGCCGAAATGAGTTTCCTCCGCAGGGTGGCTGGGCTCTCCCTTAGAGATAGGGTGAGAAGCTCGGCCATCCGGGAGGGGCTCAGAGTAGAGCCGCTGCTCCTCCACGTGGAGAGGAGCCAGTTGAGGTGGCTCGGGCATCTGTTTAGGATGCCTCCTGGTCGCCTCCCTGGGGAGGTGTTCCGGGCTCGTCCCACCGGGAGAAGGCCCAGAGGAAGACCCAGGACCCGCTGGAGGGACTATGTGTCCCGGCTGGCCTGGGAACGCCTCGGGATCCCCCCGGAGGAGCTGGCCGAAGTGGCCGGGGAGAGGGAAGTCTGGATTTCCCTGCTCCGGCTGCTGCCCCCGCGACCCGACCCCGGATAAGCGGAGGAGAATGGATGGATGGATGGATGGATGATTTATATCTGGAACACCTGGAATAATAAGACATACCCACAAATAATCCAAATCCCTCACCCTGTTTGGCTGTGTTGGTGTCAGATGAAGTCTTTAAATAGTCTGTGTTTGCTGAACTGAATACGAACTGAGTCCTCCCAAAGGAGAAAGACAGGGGGATAAACCCTAACCCTGTTTTTAATTTACTGTGTCACAAACATCAATAACAAGCAGCAGATCACGTGACTGGAATGACTCAGCATCACCGTCTCATGCTGAAAGTCCTAGTGAAAGTAAATTATGTGTTTATGTGTGACTGAAGGGAGGGGAATAAATGTGGGTGGCACCTGGGAGGAGCCCTGAGAAGGCTGAACTAACCAAATACTTCTGGCTGTAGACTGTAGGAAGGGTCAGGGTTAGGGTTAGGGTTTAGGGTTAGGGGTCAGGGTCAGGGTTAGGGGTCAGGGTTAGGGGTCAGGGTTAGGGGTCAGGGTTAGGGTTAGGGGTCAGGGTTAGGGTTAGGGGTCAGGGTTAGGGAACATGCACTCTCCATCATTTCAAAACAGAAAATGACTTTTTTTGGTTTGAAGTCTTTATTTGGCCTTTTAACAAAATATGTACAAAGAAAAAACAGAAATACATTTTTAATATTAATCATTTATTACTATGCGATAAGTCCAGATGAGTTTTTGTCTAGTCTCCTGCCCCCTGTTATCAGGTGTATCTGAATGTGTAAAATAGGATTTTGAGCAAAGTTTCTACCATTGAATTAAGCAAAAGGAGTCAGACACAAAATATTTCAGAAACCGTATGAATTCAGAAACGTATGTCACGTACGGTTTTGCTTTTGCTCCATGCCATAGTCTTATTTACTTCGTACCATAGCCTTGTTTTTGCCACAGTCTTGTTAACCTTGTTTTGCCATAGTCTTGTTTTGATACGTTTGCCACAGCCATGTTTATCTTGCTTTGTTACTTTGATCATAGTTTTCTCACAGCCTTGTTTTGAACTTTGTCACTATCCACTCCATGAGTGAGTTTTTGTTGAATAAACCCTGTTTTCTGAATCTCCACGACTGAGTCCTCCCTCCAAGATCCACCCACATGACAATTTTACAGCAAATTAGGAACATTTAGAAATGAAGAACATGATTTTAGCTGATAAAATACTTAAAATGTAAGCAGCTTTTACTGGCGTTTCATGGGCTGATGCCAGTAACGGAGCGTTTCTACTGGCCCAGACCTGGTGGGGTTGGAGGGTCCCTCATGGCTCCGCCCCCCCCGATGGCCGGCACCGTCTCTTCTCGGCCTTCCTGGCTGGAAAAGGCAGACCGGTCAGTGGGTGGGGGAATGTCTGGTGTCTCGTCATGTCTTGATAACTTATTGTGTACACCTGGGGTTCCCCCCCCTCATGTGTTTAAATAGTCCTCGTTTCCCATGTCCTATTCCAGTGCGTTTGCGTCTTTCGTCTTTCGTCTTTCGTCCCCCCATGTCACGTAAGGTTTTGCTTTTTGCCATAGTCTTATTTACTTTGTTCCAACGCCATGTTTTTGTCACAGCCTTGTTAACTTTGCTTTGCTACTTTGATCATAGTTTTTGTCATAGCCTTGTTTTGCCACAGTCTTGTTAACCTTGTTTTGCCATAGTCTTGTTTTGAAACTTTTGCCACAGCCATGTTTATTTTGCTTTGCTACTTTGATCGTAGTTTTCTCACAGCCTTGTTTTGAACTTTGTCAGACTGCCAGTGTGTTTAAATAGTCCTCGTTTCCCATGTCCTGTGCCAGTGCGTTTGCGTTTCTCATCTCTCGTCTTTCGTCTCCCCACCTCACGTAAGGTTTTGCTTTTTGCCATAGTCTTATTTACTTTGTACCATAGCCATGTTTTTGTCACAGCCTTGTTAACTTTGCTTTGCTACTTTGATCATAGTTTTTGTCATAGCCTTGTTTTGCCACAGTCTTGATAACCTTGTTTTGCCATAGTCTTGTTTTGATACCTTTGCCACAGCCATGTTTATCTTGCTTTGCTACTTTGATCGTAGTTTTCTCACAGCCTTGTTTTGAACTTTGTCAGACTGCCAGTGTGTTTAAATAGTCCTTGTTTCCCATGTCCTGTGCCAGTGCGTTTGCGTCTTTCGTCTCCCCACCTCACGTAAGGTTTTGCTTTTTGCCATAGTCTTATTTACTTTGTTCCAACGCCATGTTTTTTCACAGTTTTTGCCACAGCCTTGTTTTTTAACCCTGTCTGGACTTCCACCCTCTTGTGTATTTTTTGTTCCAATAAACCCTGTTTTCCGCATCTCCGCGCCTGAGTCCTCCATCAAAACCCACCGCCAGCTTGCTTACACTTACACACACACAAATACAGACTTCATGCATTCCTTGGACTCACTGCCTCGCTGTTACCTTTCCCCCTCCTTCCAACCACCCCATCCCCCCCTCCCTATGTGTCCTTGATGTTGTGATTTGACTGTATCTGTGCTTTAGTGTACGAGGTGTTTTTTATATCACTGTTACGTCCCCTGTAGGGGGCGTGGCACTGGGCCTTTTTTTTTCCTCTTCCCGCAACCGCTTTCCCAATGTATTCTTTTTGTTCTGAAGAAAAATGGATTCTGGCGCTGTGGAGACGGCTGCCTCTCCAGTATCTTCTGGTAACCTTAATTTCCTGAGGGAGTCTTCCCAAGGGATCAATAAAGTTCAGTCTAAGTCTAAGTTTAAGTCTAAGAACGAATTGGCCCAGGACAAGGGGAAACGAGGACTATTTAAACACATGAGGGAGGGGAACCCCAGGTGAACACAATAGGTAATCAAGACAAGACGAGACACCAGACATTCCCCCAGACGTGACAACTGGTCAGTGGGGGGTGGGGGGGGGGCTCTGAGGGGGGGCGGGTTCAGGGTTGTTTATTGTTTATTGTTTATTTATTTGGATCCCCATTAGCTGTCAGTAATTTGACAGCTACTCTTCCTGGGGTCCTTTTAAAATGATATAGATACACAAAACATATTAAATGATAACATCATAAGAACAATTATACAGCTCAAATAATTTCACCTTACATTACAATCTGTACACAAATATTCATGAATTACGGCTTTCAACAAAATATTTTTTCAGAAGTGTTTCAAATGCACCTTTCGTATTAGCAGTCAAGATGTGGTGAGGGTTCAGGCCCTCTCTTACCTCGGACCCACTTCCGGTACTTGTACACGCAGAAGACCAGCAGGAGGTTGTAGAGGACGAGCAGCAGGACGCCGCTGAGCACCCGGGTCCAGGAGAGGGGGGGGGCAGGGGG